AACCTCATTTTGGGGAAGAAAAAATGCGTCTTATATGGCAAAAAATACGGTACTTGCCTTGCTGAGCTGCAGTCAGCCCAATCACCCAGCGTGCCACCTGAGTAATTGCAAGTAGTTGCAAATACAGTGGATCGCATATTCTGTCAATTTTTTAATTAAAAAAAAATAATAATCATGTGCTCATAGGTCACACTACAAGCACAAAGGCAGTGCTGAGAGGGGTGAAAAATGGCTGATTTCTCAAAAAATTGAGGAGGGATGGTAAACACTCCTCTGCCATTAGTCCCTCCCCTCCAGATTGATGTGATACAGATCTGTCGTTCCCACTTGTTGCTTTGGAATAGATTTTTTTTTCAAAAGAACCGCCAAAAAAAAAACTAGTGTCAGGAAGCAGCATTTTTTTTTTTTTTTTTTTTTTTTTTGCATTTGCCTTGCTTCATCACAATTGAAATCAAGAACCGGTTTCAAGTAGGAACAACAGTCATATAACCCGATCAGCAATTCACTTTAAATCATAGTGGGAACGAGGCCTAGAAAGTCTGAAGTGGGTTCTTTTTGCTTATATTATTCAGAATTATATCCATTTTAACTGTGTGGCTATATAAAATCAAACATATTTTAAACTTTTATGTTTCTGGCTTTTTACTGTACTAAGGAAATGACTGTCCTGTTATCTGCAGTTTTGCATATTATTGAGTGACTTCTGTTGTAAATAGGTTTTCAGTCATGAGGAAAACCTTTGGCTTTTTGTTTTTTCATTGTGCTGATCTGGAGTACCCTGTGTAACTGATGTAATTGTAAAGGCTTTCTAGAATGTACAAAGTATTTCAGTCTGAAATAAATATTTAATCTGTACAGTAAAAGAAGTGTGCCTCTCTAATCCATCCACAGAAAATCTCTAACCTAAAAAAATAGAATGCTTTTTTAAAATGAAGACAGAGTGTTCTCTCCTGGTGTTTCTTGTTCTAGACTTTGCATTCTTGGAAAAATAAAGTGCATTAGGTGGAAAAATATCACCTGGAATATTTCTACAAGGTACATACATGTTAAACAAATAACTGTGATAGATTTTAGTGGTTTTTTTTTTTAAGAACAAGAGTATATATTAATGGGTCACTGAAACAATTAAACAAAATGAATGGCCAGCTTGGGTTGTGCAGTATCAAAACCAAAAAGCAGTAAAATTAATAATAATAATAATTATAATAAATTTTTATTTGTAGCCCGCCCCTCTGCTAGGAAATCGGGGCGGGTGACAGCAGTATTTAAAACAGTACAATGTTAAAACATTCCCTCTCTCCATAATCCCTTCCTCCCCCCACCCCATCCCCTTAAAATAGAATTAAACCAAAGAATAAATTAAAATGCAATATCAACTAAATTAATGGATTAAAAGTAAAATTTTCCAAGGAGACAGACAAATGGGGGCCCCTTTGTGGGCCGACCGTTATTCCGGGAAGGCCTGCCAAAAGAGATCCGTCTTTACTGCTTTCTTGAAAGCAGCAAGAGTGGTAGTAAGACGGATCTCATCCGGCAGGCCATTCCAGAGTCTGGGAGCAGTTGCGGAGAAGGCCCTCTGGGAGGTCTGGGACAGCCTAGTTTTTATAGGC